CCTCAGTCCTCCGCTTGGGCGTGCCAGATGCCCGTCGTAGGTTTGGCACGTAAAACCCCCAAATTTGACTTTCATTTTTACCGTTACGTCCAGGTGTCAGGTTCGTCCGGGGTGGTGAGAGGAAGGATCGGGAGACTGAGACAAATGCGTGAGAAAAAAACAAACAAACATATATATATTCAAGTTAGGAAGTAAAATTAAAAAAGAAAAAGGCAACGTTAGAAAGGCAAAAGAAAAGCAACCATTCGACCGTCCAAGCACGTTCGGTAGGCAGTATAGTCACCCCTGGGGTCGTAGCCCGGGCCGCTGGTGCCTTGATGGTTCGCCCCCTTGATCGTTGGTGAAGTAGAGCGGGCGGCGATGTCGGGAGGGGGCTGGTTATCTCGGGTACGGGTGCCTTGATCCCGGGACGGAGCCGGTTGCGCTGCTGGTCACCGTGCTGAAGCCGGTTACGTTGAAATTGAGCTTCCCTGCAGCCTGGACAGAGCCAGGCTCGTTGATTCTCAGCGCGTTGGGGCCGGGACGGAGCCGGGTAGCGCAGCACACTGACGCCGGGACGGAGCCGAGCAGCGCACCGTTCGAGCAGCCAACCGTCGCGGCTCTTGGTCCAGCTTCGAATCTCTTCGCACCCGCGATACCGCTCTTCTTTTTCTTCCCTTCTCTTTCTTCCTTTTCTTTTTCCAAATCATGACATTACCCCACAAACACGAGAAGTTTGTAAGAAACTTCTATCTTGACCGTTTCTTCTCTTCCAGGTGCCGTCACAACATCGCTGATCGCAACCGAGAGATACGAGCTTTTGTCACGGCACTTTCACAACACCCGCCACGAACGATAACGCCATCACTCCACTTGCAAGGGCTGAAGTTCCAGCTTCCGCACCTTGCAAGTGGAGTGATGGCGTTATCGTTGAAATTGAGCTTCCCTGCAGCCTGGACAGAGCCAGGCTCGTTGATTCTCAGCGCGTTGGGGCCGGGACGGAGCCGGGTAGCGCAGCACACTGACGCCGGGACGGAGCCGAGCAGCGCACCGTTCGAGCAGCCAACCGTCGCGGCTCTTGGTCCAGCTTCGAATCTCTTCGCACCCGCGATACCGCTCTTCTTTTTCTTCCCTTCTCTTTCTTCCTTTTCTTTTTCCAAATCATGACACCAGGATTTTACTTTGTTCTTTTTTGTTTTTTGATTTTATATACCTGCTACCCCCCCTCTCCTCTGCAGTGCCCTCGTGGCCCTGAGGGAATTTGAAAGAAATGAATAAATAAATAAATAAATAAATAAAAACTTAGAAGACGCTTATTGGGGAGGAGATCGAACAGTCATGCCTCTAGCGGCACGCTTCAGCTGTGGGGACAACAAAACGAATTTTCTTGTTTGCTTTTGATCAGGGAAATCGAAGATGACGATTCGATGACCGATCCTCGTGCGACCAAAACACTGGTCAGAGCGAATGCTCGTGTCCAGGTCGTGCATGACGAGGTTCAATTTCTTTGTTATGCTGCGTTAGTAAACATCGGGCTGTGGGGACAACTAGTGTGCCTCCATGTGCGCTCTGCTTAGGGTGGAGACATCTCGCCATTTTGTCCCACACGTTTATCTTTCTTTTTTGTTCAGAAGCGCGTGAAAGAGCGTGTCCCTGCACGCGTTTGTGGCGCTGACTGTGCTATGGCGACATTTTGTTTTCGTCGATTTCTTTGTATTTTCCCCGTGAGCGCGTGCTGTCGGCATCGGGTACTACAAAGGATGGCATCACCCTAAACAGAAGGACATCGAGGCACCCTAGGGACAACAACCTCGATAAAGCGTCCCCTGTAGTTCGATCTCCTGCCCAATAGCTCCACGTGAACGCGATAGCGTTATCGGGCCTCATTCGCATCGCCTTCTCAGTCGCCGTACAAGCGTACTTTGCGAGGCCTACAGACCTTAGAAAAACAACCGCATCTCCACGTGGTGAATAATGTTGATTGGGGCGAAGCTCTGGTGGTGCTTGTCTGCGTAGACGCTGAGCCGCAGCATGCCGAGCCTTTCGTTCGTTTTCATCCATGTCATGCTGCAGTCAAATGCTCAAATGCGTATATAACCACGTTCCATACCACACATTCTCTTTCTGACATGGATGAAAACGAACGAAAGGCTCGGCATGCTGCGGCTCAGCGTCTACGCAGACAAGCACCACCAGGGCTTCGCCCCAAACAACATCATTCACTACGTGGAGATGAGGTTGTTGTTGTTGTTGTTGTTTTTTGTTTGTTTTTTTTTGTTTGCCCTACACGAGCACGGGAGCACGTCCTCACGTGCTCGTGAGCACGAGCACGCGACGCCGGACATCGGATGGACATACGGACATGGCTAGCCTCTAAGGAGCTTCGCCCCTAAAAATCACCTTCTGCGCGGTGCCATCTTTGTCTGCTGGGTTGCGGAAGGCCATCTGAGCACGTGCTTTTGCTCTCTTCTGCAGTAGATCAGTCGCTGCGCACGCGTCCACGGCTCACTGACTCAGCATTTTTCGCCCGGGCGATAAACGATGGAAAGGTTTGTAGTCGGTTGCAGGTTAAGAAAAGTAAAGTTGAGGCTTGGGGGCTAGTTGGTGCGATATACTTGGGGATTCGAAACAGCGCAAAAGACGAAGGACCAGACGAAGAAGCGCTGCGTCCGTCTTATTTCTTCGTCCGGTCCTTCGTCTTTTGCGCTGTTTTGAATCCCGAAGTAAGAAAAGTATTCGAGGGAAGGGAGGGCTGGGGAAGAGGAAGCAAACAGAATGCTGGAGAGGAGAGAGGGAAACCTCCTCCTTTCCTCCTTTTCAGCCTTCCTTTCTCTCGAAAACTTATCTTAACCTGTAACTGGGCGTGTCTGGATCGCCCCCGAGGGGTGATGGGTTCGAATCCCGCCTAAAATTCTTCAGATTGTTCCTTAAGGGGTATTCACACGAGGGAAAAATCCCGGGGATTTCTCCCCGGCACGCACGCATCACGAGATGAAAACGCGAGGCTTTTGCACATCGCAAAGCCTGACGTTTTCGTCGTGGGATGCGCGTGCCGGGGAGAAATCCCCGGGATTTGTCCCTCGTGTGAATACCCCTTTAAAGGACACATGCAAAGGAAAAAAAAAACTTTTTTTAAAAAGGCTAGATTTAAAAAGACTATCATAAAACGAATTTACAACGAAGAAAAAATTTTACAGCTATATTTATGGCGCAAAACTGTAGTCGGCGCCCGCGGGAGCCGCCGCTGGTCACGTTGTAAGCCCGCGCGCCGCCGCGCTGCGTCGTCGCCGACGCAAAGTCACGCCGCCGCCGCCGCACGCTGAGCGTTGTGCGACGCCGCTTCAGCGCGTTTCTCCACGCCGCCGTCCCCGCCGCCGCACAAGTTCGTCTGCTTCGGGGCGCCGCCGCCGTCATCTGACCGGCGCACAGGTCTATCACCTCTGCTCGCGCTTTCTCAGAAGTTTCCTTTGGGCTCTAAAAGTTACTTATTCATCTTAGTTTTTCGTTATACTTCAAACAAAGCTGAATAAGTTACTTTTAGAGGCCATAGGAAGCTTCCGAAAGAGCGCAAGCACCACGTGACAAGTAAGGGTCAGTCACGTGATAAATAAAGGCCACTTTTCCTCGGCGCCCGCGGGCGCCGACTACAAATTCGTATAGCGTCGTAAATATAGCTTCAAACATTTTTTTCTTCGTTATAAAATTGTTTTACGACAACCTTTTTTAATCTAAGCTGTTTAAAAAAGTTTTTTTTTTCTTTTGCATGTGTCCTTTAAGGCAAATGAATTACTTTATAAAGTGAAATCACTTGAGACATGCGGCGACCTTTAATTTGCATTACATGTCATGTTTTAGTCGCTTTCATTTCACGCGTGACATCAGGTTTCACGTGAGCGTTGCGGGTTGTTCGAAATCCCCGCGCGATGTCGTCTGTCTGTGACGTCGTAACCCTATCGACCAATCAGAATTTTCCCGTCACGACGCCGTCGACGCCAGCATTTCTGTGACACGAGCTCCTTAATGCTATCGCGTTAATAAATAAATAAATATAAGTCACCGTTAATCTGCTTTTAAGAAAATTTTTCTTAAAATTTCTTAAAATTAAAATTTCGTGAACTCTCATCTGTCTCGAAATTGATTCGCTTTCCTCGAACAATGCGGGAATTAAAATGCATTAGTGCGCACATCCCCTCACGGAGTGCCCCGGAGAAATTTGAGCGTGGCTTTTTGTTTTTAAGTCCGCCAGATTAAACATCATTTGCTTGATTTCTCTGTCGGGGACTCTCGCGCGCTTTCGGCATTCTCGACTGAATATTTTACAACATGCTCGCTGACGGACGCAATTACGAAATGGACTGCGAGAATGAGATGAAAACGAAACATATCACACACGAGCCTTTAAAGACCGAATTGTCAGCAATACACCCAGCGCCAGCCGTCTCTTCTCATTCAGTAAAACTTCCGAGCGAGATCAAACCGACACCCATAAGCGTGCTTTCTACCATACTTGTCAAGTTGGCCAGCACCCAGTAAACACCACGGAACTAAAAATAACAACTTTCAAAGTACATAGTTTGAAACGAAACACATCACACACGTGTCATGACAAAAAATAAATAACTGCGAATTGTTTCGTGACAAACGAAACGCTGGCAAAGTTCCACTGCCTTCGTGAAAATTAAAAAAAAAAAAAAAAAATATGCGAGAGTAAGACAGCAGGATACACCTTGAGTGGACGTCAGGTGCGATATTTCCTAGTGCCTCGAAAACAATATGCGTATTCGGCCTGAAACCTGTCAGTTTTTAGCGCTTGTGTTCGTTATATATTTAGTTCGATCAATACGTTCAATCAATGTTAGAAGAAAGACACAACACAGAGAAGGGAATAGTTTTTTTTTAATGTTGTTTGTTGTCATTTTTGTGTCTCTGTTGAAAGCTTTGTTTTGGGAGGGACGCTTGCTGAAGACTTCAGATCTTCTGCGGTGCGAGGGTTGCAGCGTCGGAGTGTTTAAGCACGCACAATGACAGGTCTGGGTGTGAGCCTTGCCACCATCGCAGCACTTGTAAGTTGAGCACAAATCTCACGTCTTGTCTTTGCTTTCGAGACGACCATTTTCAAAAGTCTCAAGCACCAAGGAGCATATCGTGTGTGTTGTTACATGCGCTGTGCGTGTTGGCGTCTGCGGCAGCAATTTACTAATATAAAAGATTAAAACAATTGGTGCTTTGCAGACGCTCGAACGTAGCGAGCTGACCAAAAGTTACCGGTGACGATGCCCCGACGCGAGAGTTTGGACTAACATCTAGCAAAGGTATCATTGGCCGCCACATTCTCGTCGGCATGCTATGCCTGGTTGCTTGTTCAACGGCTCGCGTCGAGGCAGCACTTGGATGTTTTGGTCATCACTCGGATAGCTTTCTTTCTTTGAACACGACTGTACCAGCCGCCGTCGTTTCATTTTAGACATTTACTTTAAAAATTTCACAAAACAAGGCGACCACGTGCAGCACGTGTACATGTATTTCCGGCATGCTCCTTAGTTCTTGGAAATCTTAGGAGCCAGCTTACAAGTCAGAACCCACGTAGAAATTAAGCTGTTCGCACACTAACAGAGCGTACTATTTCTAACGACAGTTTTATGCATGGCTCGCATTAATATCACATCAGCTGCCATTGATGTGGCCTCCCTGCTTAGCCGCACCCCAGCAGGGAGGCCGCCATAATGACCACTGATGTAGGAACGACCCACAGCCTGGAGCCATGACGGCACGTGCAAGCCACGTATGTGACCCGTGCTCAAATCGAGATGCAGAGATAAAATAAAAAAGGAGAGACGGCAGCACACGTGAGTCAAATACTGAGCGCGTTATGATTAGAATCATCAGAGAGTGCGTGTCTTTGTCAAACAGAGAGGCAAAAACTAGGGCTTTGTCAGAGCATCGAGGAAAATCGAATTTAGTTGAACCCCACTTTATTTTGGGAAATAAAATCTCTACAGGAATTGTCAAAAGGTGCCAGTGCCATGTTCATTAAACGTCACGTGTTGCGACTGAATCGTTATTTCCGGTTCTTTAATACTCTCACGTATCCCATGCTTCACGGATTTATTGCTTTTTTTTTTTTTTTTTTCGTTTAAACCGAACAAAGCAGCTTTGCCACCGTGAGATCGAGATCAGAGAGACCACTTAGAGGGTCTTTCTGCCGCCAACGTCATCACTATACTTCGTTTCAGCTTCGGTCCGAGCGCGGCCGATGTTGTGAGCCGAAGGACCAATCGAAGAGCGCAAAAAGCGCAGCATCATGGCGCGCTCTCTGCGCTTGATAGGACTAGCCGGCGGAAAAGCACGCACAGAGAGACGGCGAGTACCGGCTGGTCCTATCAACTGCAGAGAGCACGCCATGACGTTGTGCCTCTTTCGCTGTTTGATTGGCCCTTCGGCTCATAACATTGGCCGCGCTCGGACCGAAGCTGAAACAAAGTATAGTCTATCCAGGGAACGCCGCCAAGCTTCCGTCAGCCTCGCCACCAGCGCGTCTTGAAGCGTCTCAGAACGAGCGCGACGCTAGCACGCGTTATCGTCGAAACGGACGCGTCTGCCGCTTTGCGGCGGCTCTAAGCTCTAACCAAGCTTCAGTGTTTTCGCCACTTTGGGGCGCGTCGGGGATCCACTGGCTAGGTGGCGCAAGCCGCCGCCCAATTCAAAGGGTTTCTGAAATCTTTTTGGATGAACATAATCGAAACATCCCGTGCACCATATTTTCAACCATAAAGAGTTACTACATTTAATCCTTTGGCTCTGATTAAAACTGTTTCTCGCTACCACCTCTAGGGGATTCTTTTCGTCTTCTGGTTGGCCAAGAGAGCATGCCAAGCCCTCTATCTGCGTCTGGTGCACGCCCTCGCTCTGCCCGCTCCTCCCATTGACCAAACTCTCTCTATGCACGGTTCTGGCTGGGTGATAATGGTTTAGTGCGAATTCCCCGAATTGCGTCGCACCTTGCCCCGCAACGTCCAGCCAACTGTGCTCATGATGAAAAAGAATAAAAAATAAGTTCCATAGCTGCTGCCACCGCGATGTTGACGCATTAGGCGCGTGCATTTGCTTGGTTGTCGGGCGTGACATCGCTTTAGTCGAGCTCAAATGTATACAAGAGCTGCCTTCGATTTGCCTGCACCGGTGCAGAAAAGTGTAGGGCGGTGTACTTCCGGTCGTATCTGAATACACACACCGAAAGAACACTGCCCTACACTTTTCGGCACTGGTGCAGGAGGTGCAGGCAAATCGAACGCAGCTAAGGTTAACACAGACCGACTCACGCAGCATGAGTGGGATGTTTTGCAAGCGACGTTGTAATATTTGGAAAGAGTTGTCATCTCTGCTCGCTACCCACGCTGGCTCTGTTCGAAAAAGCACTGTATTCTGTGCGTGCGCACGCTGTGAATGGCTTTTCGTGTGGTAAAAGGCATTAACGCTGGCCCCAAAACAAAGATTCTCAGAAAGTGTCTAGGGCGAGCACGTTTCAACCCCGTTTCGTTTTTTCCCATTGTTTCAGTGGATGGTGGACATAGGTGAGTGATGAAACTGTCTCAGCACTTGTTATCCGGCATCAAATAATCGATAACGCGAGAAAAAGTGATGTTGAGTAGATATTTATATATACTACAGAGCGTGTGGAGGTAAACAAAAACAAATAATAGCCGAACTTCCGGGGGGAGTATGTCACTTCCGGTTGGCTATTTTATTGTTTTTGCTCATTTCTTAAAACCCACAGTGAGAAGCGCGCATACTTCAAAAGTCTCACCACCGAGGACTAACTGCGGTACCTCTCGCATATTACTTCAGGATCGACATGATTTCCTGATCCCTTAAATGAAAAGAAAGAGCACTTGTTCCTCGAGGAAATGACAAACCTGCCGAGGCTTATTGCGGGCGCACCTTAAGGACTGCTTATTCGACTAGATTGGTCCAAATACTTGAGAACGACCTAAAACCTACAAATCCTTAGACACGTTCAACTGCTTCGTGAACAGCAAGGCATCGGTAGTGGGCACACATCCCCAGGCACCGAATATACGGACCTTGCTTCCCCTCAGGGGTCGCCAAGCCGGGTCTTGGTTTTAGCAGACAATCTTCCGAAATATTTTATTACGCTTCCCTCAGCGCGACGCGAGTCTCTGTAATGCACAATTGTCTACTGTTTTGACTTGCTTGCTTTGGTACTCAAGGTTTCTTTCCCAGATCACCGTGCGAATTGCATTTGTACGTGCTTTATCAAAGGCCGATCGTTACACGGAGATCGTCGGTGGAGGCGCCGCGGCGCCAGCACCGCATGCTCGCGTTTGTCGCGTTGCGCCCTCTGTCGGCAGCAGATCGAAGTAGGCTAGCACCCCCTGCCAATGCCATCGTCCTGTGATCAACCAGGCTCGGCGGCGCTAGAGCCACAGCGGCGCCGGTGGCCTTCCTCGTCTCGAGATATTATAAATAACTCCACTTGTGACATCTTGTTCGTGCCAGTGCGCATCGGCAACTTTAAAGCTCGAGAGTGGGACGTTTCTAGAGCGCAGCTCTCGCGGAATTGCTCGCTATAGTGAACCACGAGTCGTCGCGCGCCCACCCAAACACAAGGTAAACATAGAAGAGCCGGAAGTATTTCTATCCCCCCGTCATGACGGCCGTAAGTAGCGCGCACATCTTGTATACCAACGCGTATAAATGTGCCTCTATGTGCCGAGTGTGTCTGAGAATATACTTCGGGGATCGGTGGCCGAGTGGGCTAGCGCCACACCGTGGCTAGCGCACACCAGCTCGGAGTACGTGGAGCGAAAGCTCGCGCTGCAGAACCCAGGCATCCTGGATTCAATCCCCACCTCTGCCCGTTTCGATCTGGATGAGCATCGTACCTGCGTGCGGTCGTGTATCGCTACTGCGTGGTGCACGTTAAAGACCCCAGGCTAGCGGTTGTACTGCACTGGCTAAATTGCTCATCTACAGCTGAGACACCAGACGCCCACTTAGGCAGACTAACTTCCGGCTGTCTAAACATACGCACAGCAATTTATGCTTCCGCGTACAAAAGAAGAAAATAACAGTCCGTGGTTGCCCTTTCACGAGGTCAGATGTGCTCTTTCGTGGGTATTTGTGTGTACGAGTGTCGTTAATGTGCAAAATTGTTTTTATATAACTACTCCCAAGATCTTAATCTGTATTTTTTTTTCGTGGTCAATAATATTGATACTACAAGTGTGTCTTAAAACATTCCTTTTTGTGTGTTTGTGTGTGCGTGGTATAATCCCAAGGTTATAGTGTCAAATACTGCTTCGTACTTTTTTCTTTCATAAGTGATTTTTTTAACAGATTGAGAACCTCCGACTGCATATGGGAATTCCCTACAACGTGTAACTTTTGGAGAAACAGTTTAGTGGTGTGAATGTCAAGATTTTTTTTAAATTTAATTTTGTACTGTTTATTTTTTGTAATAGGAGCTTACTGTCTGAAAGTACTGTAACCGCTCATTCACACTGGAAGCGGATCCCCGTTCGCAAAGCGGTTGCGAACGCGGTTGTATAAAGATCCAGTACAATTGCACGCGCACTCGATGACATCAAGTGCGCGTGCAATTGTACTGGATCTTTATAGACGCTTTCAGCGCGCGCCAGATTGAGCCACCATAGTCCACCTTCTCTTGTCTTACCGAGATGCCGAGCCACTGAAGCGGGCCTTGACGAATCTCCACAAGGGCCTATGCTGGGGAGAAGGACACAGTACACCTAAAATGGCAATAACCTGTCCTGCTGTCGCAATGATGAAGTGGAGCGAACGGAATCAGAGGGAACAAAAACTGAAGGTCGGTTATGGGGGCGCCCATGCACAGCTGCCTGAAAGCGTCTATACAACCGAGTTCGCAACCGCTTTGCCAACCCGGATCCGCTTCCAGTGTGAATGAGCGGTAAAGGCTGCTCAAGCGCAAAATTTGTTTTCTCGAACTTCCTTCTTTTTAGACACTAATTTTGATATAGTTGCAACCTTAGTTTAGTCCTACAAGCCCTTGAAGGCTTCGACGAACATGCGTTGTGCCGTTACCCGCCTTTTCAAAATAAATAAATAAATAATAATAATAATGATAATAATAATAATAACATTATTATTATTATTATTATTAAGTGTGCCGACACGGGGATTCGGAGATTTTTCCTGGTCACTGTAATGAACACTGATTGATTGATATTATGTGGTGATCAAAGCAAGCATAAATATGAAGCTTACCATTAAATTATTGAAGAGCAAGGTGGGCCTATCCTTTAGGAAAGCGATTTCGAGATGAGACCTATCTCAGCGAAGAATGGCGTTCTTATTAATAAAATATTAACTTGCGTGAGCCAGATTGCGTCGGTCGTCGCAATCTTCACTAGAGCAGTCCAAATCGCCGCCTCGTTTATTGCGACATCGAAGAAGGAGTGACCCGGAGTCCATGTGTATTAAGTAACGGTCTTTGTGATTTCCTTCCACTGGCAAGCACACGGCGAGTTGTTCTACATCGAAGAAGCCGTACTAAGATTCATCCGACACATTGAAAAACACAACCAGATTAAAGTGAAGTGGTGGGATATAACAGGAACGCACGAGGAGCTGCCGAAAGACAAGAAGTATGAAAAGTACGTACACTGAAAAGAAAAAGAAAATTATGATAAAAACATATATAACACTGCATATACGTAGTACAAAGACAGTCTGCAGATTCGACCGCCAGTCACCGCGAGATCCGTGCTTCAAATGCCGCATGGCAATGAGTTCAAGGAGGAAACTTGGCACGCGGCATTCGAACCACGGATATTGCAGTGACTCCGGCAGTGTGACCCCGGCTTTAGGGTCACGGGGCATTTTCCCCAGGTTTACCAAATTTTGTCTAGCGTAGTGGTTCACTAACTAGCAGTCTTGAGTAAGTCACTTTTAAAAAGTATTTAGTTACAGTTACAGATAGTTCGCAAAAAATGTTTTTAAGTTACAGTTACGGTTACTTACATATAAAAATATTGCATTACAATTACAGTTACTTCGTCAGAGTAACTTAGTTCCTTTCAAGATACTGTCGTGTTTTGTTTTGTTTTTATTATCTATTTATGAATACATTGATGACAACACACAATGACTGCGATTTATATTTATTTGGAACTCTTCAAAAAATCTCATTTCACTTTTTGAGATGTATATCTTTACAAATGTAAAATGTATAGATTTACTGTTAAAAGTTACCACAAAAAAAGTAGATAGTTACATGCAGTATCGCGATACTACCCAAGACTGCTAACAGCGACACCAAAGGCTAAATACTACACCAGATTTTCACAATCTGGTGGAGAATTTCCCCATCTGAAAACATAGACCCTGTATGTGTGCCTCGTTCAGTGGCGTCGGAAGTAGGAGATAGGGAGTGGGGTGCGGGAGGAATAAACCTTCTCTCCTCAAGTTTATTACGGATGTCTAAAATGTCAGAGGGGGGGGGGGGTGCATTTCTCCTCCCTCCGTCCCCTTTGCTCCGATGCCACTGACCTTATTATAGGTAGATGTGTCAAGGATGACTGGGACACTGCTTGTTTGCCATTAAAATTAGTGGCTCAGTCTACACGATTTACTTGGGGCATTCAGATGTTAAAAATTGTGCTCTGGAGAAGTTTGGCGTAACAAAGTCTGCGCCGTCTTTGCAGGTACCGCATGAAGGTCTCTGTGAAGGATATTACATATGGTCAGGCGACCTCAAAAGTTGCAAAACCTGATGCTCTGTACAGCCAAATCTTCCAGAACAGACAAAGGAAAGATCCAATTTCGGTGAATGTCCAACACATCAAGACAGTTTCCAGCTTTCTTTCCTGGGAGATTGAGAACTCTATACGCACCGGACTAGGCTTTAGTTTGTTTCTCGATCTCCCAAAGAAACTGGGCGATGCGGGGTTCGAAATAAGTACAGCGATCGACTCCAAAAGTGAGAGAGCCGGCACGGAAATCAAAACCACGGAGGTTACCATGAAGGAATCGTTCAGCGTTGCAGGCCAGACCGAGGTAACTGCGATTTGGAAGATGACAGACGGCACAATGGTCAGTTATTTTTTATATTTGTTTGTTCCTCAGCGGGATGAATTTGCAGCTGAATATATTCATTCTCAATAGAGGAGCCTGGACGTTTTCACTGCACTTTTTTGATGGGCTTATGGAAACGCATTATAAACTCTAATTTCACCACTATCTCAATGCACAGAACCAAGAGTCTGAGAACATACGCATGAATGGATAGATGAATGGTAGTAGCTAAACACCTTGTATCGGTATATAGTTTGCGCTACCTAATATACAACTTTCTATACTGCACCAAATTTCATCAATCTTGTGCCTAATTTTACACTTCCCTGGACAATGCACATAACAAGACTTCGAACTCGTCGCGCGTATTGTCCCGTGCGTTCCCTCAGAGTGTGGGCAAAAGCAAGGTCGTCTGAATCCGCTTTTTATACGCCACTACCGGTGATTGTATAGGTACCATGACTGGAAGCTCTTGTATGTAACGAAGATCCCACAAATGTCAAGTAACATCGTGCACGTACCATTTACGAAAGAAATAGCGAGTGCAGAATTAGAAGTCAATTCACACAGCACTGTTTGATAACGTTTGCTTACGTTACGATGTGATTTGAACGCGAGTCAGCGGGAAGTCCGAGCTTGATATAACGCGTGCAAAGCTATCCCATTGAATTGGTTGACGTGCTTCCTAGAAAGCACGGATGTCCCGGTCACTGACGATCGTCACTGGACGTAAGCTCCCGTAACATAACACGACGTAAGCAAACGGTACTGTGTGAACTGGCCTTAAAAGTCGTGAGTCTGCCGTCTAATCAACGTGTGCGTTCCTTGCGCGTGTACAAGACAAGCGTCATTGGCCGCGAATTTCGTTCATCTGGGCTCCTTCTTTTCGTTTTGATAAAGTCCACCGATCACACTGGGATTGACGGTGGGAGAAGGAAGTACTTCCGAATTCCATTGTGGTCTGTAATTAACTTGTTAAGTAATGTAGGCTGGTTAGGCGCAATACAGGGTGTCACAAAAGAAAATTTACACGGTCTTTTTTACCGCAAAAATAAACTAGGCATCGCCCAACGCTCATTCTCTGCCCAAAGGTGGAGCTAGATGTCACAACCAGATGCCAAAGTTTCAGCCCGATCCGATAACTTAATCAAAAGTTATAAGTGATTTTCTGGAAATTTCAATGGGAAAATGGCGGCCGACGGAGTTTTCAAACACATGGGGCTCTATGGCACCAGAAACCGAAAACTAGCAAAAATGGACTTCATTTTCCCATTGAAATTTTCAGAAACTCACTTATAACTTTTGATTAAGTTTTCGGATCGGGCTGAAACTTTGGCATCTGGTTGTGACCTCTAGCTCTAGCTTTGGGCGGAGAATGAGCGTTCGGCGATGTCTAGTTTATTTTTGCGGTAAAAAAGACCGTGTAAATTTTCTTTTGTGACACCCTGTAGATTGCAGTGCATAATTTGTACGAAAATGAGGCACATTCCAGAACCCTCTGCGTCTGACAAGGATGGAAGATTCACGTTGTGTCAGGTGGGATACATTAGACAAAAAAGAAATAAATTCATCGGTCGAAAATAAATAAGAACATAGCAAACGGCACTGGTATTCACTGGCAATCCTCATGACATTGAATTTAAGGAATAACGGTTCCGTGTGAGTGTTGTAAGGCACGTTTGTAATAAAACGCAGCATTTGCTTTTGTAGGATGGTAACTTTGCTAATATCAGATTTAATTGTTGTGCCCCAAACCAAATGACAATAGTTAATTTGTGAGCTAAATAGAGCATGATAAATTTGCATTTTAATATTTACAGGCAACAAGGATCCACAGTAACATACTATTCCAACAACATTTGACATTTAGAAAGTGGAGACACATAAGGGACGATACAGACAGGACAATCTTTCAAAAGATTCTCCTGTCTGTACATCGTCCCTTATATGTCTCCACTTTCTAAATGTTTAAAATGCACCAACACGCTCAAATAGTACAACATTTGACAGTTTCTTAACTAAGTAATCGATGTGATTATCCCATTGCATTTGTTCTGAAAAAATGACACCTAACATTTTGTGCTGTTTAACTATTTCAATCATGTCGGTGCCAATCTCTAGAGCATAATTACTAATAACGTGCTTATTTACAGGTCTAAACAAAACTGCCTTAGACTTTACAGTGTTTATTTTAAGACCATTTATTGTTGACCACGAAAGAAACTTTTCCAGAACTAAGTTTCCCATGGGCATAAGTTTGTCCATATTCGATGCAAATAGAAATATACTCGTCTCGTCTGCATACATTATAAAACGTGCTTGGTTGCAAATATTGACTATACCATTTATATACACATTGAACAGCAGAGGGCCGAGTATGCTGCCCTGGGGCACACCAAACTTCAAGATTTGCAGAGAGGAAACATGATCATTCACTGAGACGCATTGCTTATGATGTTCTAAATATGAATGAATAAGTATCAAAGGCGTGCCACGTATGCCATAACACGAAAGTTTATCAAGGAGCGTTGAATGGTTAAAACAATCAAACTTTACTAAGATCCAACAAATATTCCCAGCGTCAGCCGTTTGCATTCTGTATTGTGTAATATTATTTCTTCCTGTGATATCAAAGCGCTTTCCGTGGATTTTCCCTTGCGAAATCTGAACTGGGAGTCAGTTAGCACTCATGTCTGGGTAAAAAATTCGTCTAAACGAAGTTTAGCGCGCGCGCGTGGCCAGGCGATAAGGAACGCCTCGCTGTTCGAAAGAGCCTGACATTGCAAGATTAAAAAGAACTGTTTTTTTTTTCTAAACGTTTTTATTTTTTCTAAATAGGTTCTTGGGTAGACATCAATACAGCATCAACCTTTTTTCTGTGGGATGCTTAGTTTTCGCAGGAGCGATTTGGCCTGCGTTTTCCGAAACATCTTGTATACATTAGCATTCAATGATTCGTCCTGCCCATGCTCCATCAAGCTCTTGAAAGATTTTCCCAAGGCTATTGGTACTATTTCTAATCCTAAACGTTTGAAGTTAGATCTAAGAACCATTTTCATTTATTAATCAGCAGGCCCCCTTTCCACGTATACTTTTATTGTATTGGCAAAAGAAAATATATGTACTCTATTTTATCTTCGTTAAAAAAAAACACATACTTGATCACCGTGGGAACCGCGTCGTCCTGCATGCACGCCGACGAACATTGCTGAAAGTTTGTTTGCTTATGGTGAGAATCTACTTCGGAGGTAAAATGCCGAGCTATGTTAGAATTGGGAATGACTTGTGTGCGTTTCAAATGAACAAAACGTAAAGCCAAATTGACCTCTGATTTGAATAAAAATATTTACAGAATCATTATAACGCTGAAAGCAATTTGACGAAGAATGGAAAGTTTAAGCAAAGTCATAGCAAAAACAAACCTCCGATGTTTCAAAATCAACAAGGTCCCTTCGTCACGGGTGACTAAGGTGGACGGAGAAGAGCGCTGCTTATGCAGATTGACTGCCTCCGGGTTCTTACACAATGTGACAGAGTTCTGCGACGTACACGGTACAGACTTGGGGTAGCTCCCGACGACCTGATCCTTTCGTTGCCTGAATGTACCAGGATTATAAACGCAGCAGTGTTGATGCCGGGGATCTCGCCTTTGTCGGAGAACACTCAGTGACCTGATTTCACTGTGTGTCCAGCGGGGGCACTTGCTTGAACTTACATGAATAGCGAGGGCACTTGCTTGCTTTCCTCACATCGTATTTGTCGCAACAGATGAGTTCCGAAAAGTTTTTTTTTTTTTTTTTTATGGTTTCGTTTACGTAGGCAGCAGGGCAGTCCCTGCACGGGATGTGGGAGATGAGGCCTTGAGACTTCTCTCTCCCGGTCTCCTGGGGAGAGGGAGTCGGTGACGGATGGAGGACTTGTGAGTGATCGCGAACCCGTGTTGAACACGTCGTCGGGAAATCTCCCAAGCGTCTCAGGACTCCGTCATACCATGGAAAATCTCGGACGCAGCCAGCCTCTGTCCACGTTACAGGCACGCGTGAACAAGGGACCGAGTTAGTCCCGAAACGTCGGGAATTTTTTTAAATTTAAGCTTAAAACTTCGGTTAGAGATTCAATTCTTTTTTCAACCGTTTCCTAACCAGACAGATTTCTGACGAAGATGTTTACTTTTAATTGTAACTTACGTAAATACACGCACGCCTCTGATGTAAGACTGTTTCAATACATAGAAACTGACTATGACTTGTCCGTTTTACAGAACGTCCCCTGGACCGCAAAGTTCATACTGGAAGGATTCATTGCTGTCTGCTACGAGAAAAAATACAAGGGCAGAGAGTTGTGGTTCTATAGTATTGCTTACTTGGACCACCCGAAACTCACTCGAGTATCGAAATACGTAGTAAAATATGAAGGCAAGGGGCTCTTCAATGGAGTCAGCTCCTCTGACCTGGCGGTTCAATCGGAAGAGAAAAGTTTAAAACGCGGTAAAAAGAAGCCAAGAAAAAATGTTCTTCCTGATCTAATTGACAATGAATAAAGAAAGAGAAAGACGAGCATTAAGTTCGCAGAACACAGGGCAATCAGCACCAACGTGTTGAACCCAATGTGTTGGTACGTGGCAAATAATAAAACTGAAAAATCTTTACTTCTTTGTGTTTGCTTTTTAGATTGCATAAAAGCGGATTTTTTTTTTTAGAACTTGTCAATTTAGTGTTTATAGCTGTATCCAGTATCCGTGTGAGAGTTTTATATTTTAATTAATTAGAATGTCAATCTAGCCGAAGGCATACGGTGCACGTGAGCAAGTGTGTGACGGGGATTGGAAATCAATTATATACTGCTGGTTCATGGGGCAAACCAAAGAAGGGCATCTGACAGGGACGGCGGAGAAAAGGTAATTGGAGATAAGCTCACCGGCAAAACTGTCGGATGAGGAGAAAAGCTCACCAACATTTTTTTACGGACGCAGAGAAAAGCTGACCTAGGAATCTATGAACCGAGCATTCACTCAATTAACGTAATATGTAAATTCCATAAGTGCATGCAATTATTGTGCACTTTACTAAATTGTTCTATCTCATACACGTCATGGGTGGCACGACGAAGATCAAATAACTAACATAAAAATCGACCGATAGGTAGGGAAAAAATAGAATCAGTGTACTAGATTGCAGCTTGAATAGCTCCTGAACAGGGGAATAGGTAGTAGCCCGCCACCCGCGTATAAGCAAACCATATCCCGTACAGTACCTGGCCACGCCCCCTTGTCACGTGACATGACGTCACTTGTGCCAAAGCAATTTGTCATGTCACGTGACCTGACGTCACTTCCGCTCTAAAACGAAACCAGTTGTTTTATTGGTGTGCGAATCGTCACGTGACATGACGTAGACACAAACGGAAGAATGTGCTGGACTAGTGAACGTCTTAAAATCGCATTTATCATCATCATCAGCATTATAATTATTATCATTATTACTACTACTTCTACTATAACTACTACTACTATACTACTATAGCAACTAAAAAGTTTCCTGAAGCGAAAATCTTTCGCTTATGCGAAACACAAAAGCGCAAGTTTGAGGAAGTGATTTAGGATTTAAGCACTACCGACGTTTGTGCAAAATGCAGTACACAGTTGATCACGCCCAATACGTTATATTTGTAGAGTCCGATCTGAAGCGAAATCCCAGGAAACTTTGGAAGCACGTGAGCAGTCACTCGGGAAAACAGTCTCGAGCAGAAATCCACGTCCGATGTATGCTAGTCATTCTATCGTCTAAGCATAACGGACAACTCACGCTTACCTTTAGTGGGGAAGCAGCTGTGCTCATCCGTCATTGACGACGAAGAAGTTTCAGGCCGACTTTCTCCGCTGATCATGGTGGGATTCCTGAGGTTCTCGTCAAGGTTTATCACGAGTTTCTTACCCCCGTGCTTTCGTCATTTTTTAACAACTCGTTACGATTAAGCTTGTTTCCCGATACATGGAAGGTGGCAGCTGTGATTTCAGCGCATAAGTCGGGAAGTAGAGAAGATGTGTCAAATTACCGACCCGTTTCTTTACTTTGCGCGTTTTCTAAGCTATTTGAAATTGGAGTTCACAAAACAATTTCTTTTTTTTTTTTTTTCAAATATATATTCGTTTTGAACCAACACAGGTTCATATTAGGGCATATTAGGTTTCTTTTATGGATTTTGTTTCGAGGGCGGTGTGTAATGCAGGACAAGTGGATGTTATGCACTTTCATTTCAGCAAGGCTTTTGATGTCGTAGACCACAGTTTTTTGTTATCGAAACTGTCTGGGCATGGTGTTTGCGGGTCATTATACCACTGGCTGGAAAAAGTATCACGCAGAGAATGTCTTGTTCGCGTGAACGGAAAATGTTCACGGACATATGGTGTCACCTCCGGGGTTCCTCAGGGGTCAGTGTTGGAGCCTACTCTTTTCTCTATCTTTGTGAACGAGGTGTCAAAAGTCGTGGTTAGTTCTTCGGTTCTACAGTATGCGGATGATATTAAGATATTTTGTGAGGTCCGCAGCGATGGGGATTGCGTGACGCTTACGGCGGATGCCCGCGCACTCAGTAACTGGTGTTGAACCAATCATGTTCTCCTAGACAAAACTAAAACAAAGGTAATGACTTATACGCGAAAAACGTATAAGGCATATTTTTTCTATCAAATTCATTCCCAGGTATTATGTCGCGTTAGAGACATCCGGGAGCTGGGAGTGACATTTGACACCTCCCTCCGTTTTGACGCGTTACTAAAATAATGGTGTCCGCGTTTCGTACTCTCGGATTAGCCTGTAGAATGACAAGAAAGTTCGCGAATCCTAACACGTTCCTTTTTTTATACTGCGCCCTAACTCGAACTTAACTCGAGTATGCAGCCGTAGTGTTTTGCTTTAAAACAATAATCGTTGAATAATGTTTGCAAACTGTACTATCGGGGGAAAATGAAATGCGAACAGAGGAGCGCGTGGCTCGCGGTACAGGCTGCGCCGCCTGGAAGTGAGCCTAGGAGCGAGGGTGCGTGGCCTACTCCGATGTGTTCACTCTCCTCGATTGGCGCTCCTCCAGCTTCGGCAGTGCGCCTCTCAGCGCGCTGAAAGCTGCCACCGCTATCTTTGCCTGCTCGGCGAGTGCGGCGAGCTTCTTTGCACCGCACGCGCTGAGCCAGCAAAGATAGCGGTGATAGCTTTCAGCGCACTAAGAGGCGCACTGCTGAAGCTTTGGGAGCGCAGAGGGAGGGGCGTGAACACGTCGGAGTAGGCCACGTACCCTCGCCCCTAGGCTCACTTCCTGGCGGCGCAGCCTGTACCGCGAGCCACGCGCTCCTCTGTTCGCATTTCATTTTTCCCCGATAGTACGTAGCTTGCACTGGCGTCTAAAGAGCGTCGAACTCAACTCGGAATATGCAGCCGTAGTGTTTTGCTTTAAACCAATAATCGTTGAATTATGTTTGCAATCTGTACGTAGCTTGCACTGGCATTCAGCGGTCATTGTGGTGGCCTTGCCATGAGCGCGTGCCTTCTGGAGCTATAGATTTCGCCCTATCAAACTAGTTTTTCTTGGAAAGAGCAAGCAGAAATGACCACCAGCATGATGCGATGACGTCATCTACAAGCCATGCATTACAAAGGACCCGTGAATAAAAACATACAGGTAACACAGGTTTAACATAAGGGAGCGCAAGGAGCCGCTTGCTACGACCAACAGGAATAGCTCACGGAGCTCGGTATGCCAGACTATTACCGTAAAATGCTCACCGAATGGTTCGTTTACTGTTGTTGTCGCCTTTGAGGTGAGGCCAAATTGGAAAAGCGTCGACTTGTGAAATATCCTACGCACATAATGTTTCAAACCTATTCTAGACCAAAGCGCATTTTTCGTCTTCGCTTTTTCAACTGTGATGAAAGTGGGAATTGCAGCATGTCCCAAGAGACGCTCGAAGACCCGCACAGAAAATGGGGAAGCGGAACGAATGGTGCCAGAATAAATGGTCCCGAAATAAATGGTCCCGGAACAAATGGTCCCGGAACAAATGGTCCCGGAACAAATGGTCTCGGAAAAATGGTCCCGGAACAAATGGTCCCGGTACGAATGGTCCCAAGTACAAACTAGAAAAAAATTGTCCCAGCTAAATATTGCCAATATGGCTTCTGCGTTTTCGGATAAATCTTACAAGATCCAATAACACTCGCCGACTTTTGAGACTGCCGGTTGCACAAACTCAACCGGTTTTTATATTTTTCTAGGAAGCTCAAAAATGTTTTGCGCTATGAAACCTAAATAAAGGTATCGAGCTCCGCTCGTTATGTGTGCTACCACCACGCGTCATGACGAGATGGAAGTAATTCGAGTTTCATGGCTTCAACAGTATGACCGTACGGGGAGGCACTCACTTGATCAAGTGACTTTTTAGCGAACGCCCACGTTTCACCGATTGACACTTTAGCCAATAGTCGGCCGCCGCCAAGCAGCGTTTACGGGTGGGTCAAGCTGGTTCACACTATTATGGTGAGCCGCCGGAGACTCGCCGCGCAGAAGGGGGGTAGGGGGGGCGGGTACGCGCGCCACCGTTATTCGCTAAAACGTCGATTCGTTCAAATTTCGCTGTTCGCTAAAACGTCATTCGCTCATGTGATATGGACCCGACTAGGGGTACTAATTTTTCGTTTCAAAATAGCCTAATGATATAATAAATATTCTAAAGCCCCTTAATGAAAATAGTAATAACTTTTATAATATCGTACAAGGTCACTAAATTAACTGTTAGGAGACAACTGTTGTACAGTATTCATTTCGAATATATTCTGACGATTTTTAATAAAATTAGGTTCAATACTGGACCACCTTCTTCAAAGTAACCGGCGTCAAAATATACACGAAATCTGTCATTCCACCAGGAAATCACTGATTGCATAACGGACGAACTATATTGCATGGTGCATCTTAGTTTCAAAACAATCTTCTTGCAGGACCATTTTCTCTCACCTTGGACTTGGGTCCATTAGTTCCGGGACCGTTTATTCCGGCACCATTAGTTCCGGGACCATTTGTTCCAGGATCATTAGTTCCGAGTCCTTTAGTTCCAGGACCATTTATTTGTTCCTACACCCGAGAAAATGTCTTCGAATTCCAGTGACGTAGCCGACTATTTTATAAACGGTCCGCAAGTCGCTTTGTTTGGTGTACTTCATTCGTAGTGGTGTGTGCACTATCCCCGCTTCACCGAGCGAGTTTGACAAATGGGTTGGGTTCACAGAGAACAGCCATCGCCGTTCAGTGACATTTTCAGCTGAGACACGGCATGGCGGAGTGTTTTGCGGCTGCCCCGTCTCCAGCAAAAGAGGCCTGCCATCGGCGATGCTTAGTCCGCACGGGCAGAAGCACCGAAGCATCATGGTACATTAATCGTGCATTTCGAGCTCGCACGTGACTCAGCAGAGTCAAGCAAGGCTCTTTGTGTCACAATTCGCCGGCGTGCAAAAATAGTCGAGACAGACGCTGGCGTTAGAACGATCGAAT